AAAGAACAAAGAATAACATGTGGAATTACTTCTGAGTAGTTTCTTTATTGCTGTACACCTACTGATAGAATTACTAGACTAAAGCAGTTATCTGCAGTAACTATAGTTTGTGAATTGTTAGGAAGGGTCCAACCTTGCTCTCGTCCTGCCTATCAGACATTCCAAGCGCTAGTATCTCTTTGCCCTCTTGGAAAGAGTCCCTCCATCCTACAACTCCAGGTTACATTCCATCACAGTCTTGCAACAAGGCATGTAAAGTACACAACTCACCTTAGGCATCCTGTAGCATTGTAGAAGATATCAGGGTCAGGGATGATGCTTGATTTGGGATAATCTCTATCAGGCCATCCCGTGTAAGGAATGAGGACAGTTTCTGTCAATGGCTGCAGGGCTTCCCGGATCAATAAATTTTTCAGCTGGTCATTGGAGGAGAGATTCCATAACAAACCTACAAAGAACATTAAAGAAACAGGATGACCTAATTGGCCTTCATAGGGCTTTCTCAGATAGACAGTGAATGGATTAATGGAATTTACTGAATTCTGGATCCCAGACTACTTCATCCCAGTGTTTCATGTTTCCTTAATCACAAAGTGCAAAAATGTATTAGGTAGATAAAGAATTTCCCTGGCACATATTTGATGATAAATCTAAAGTTAATATTAGTTTTCTCCATCAAAGCTTTACCGGTTGAATTTCTACTTTTCATGTTATTATTTGTTTCAGATGCAGGAAGCCTACTTTGCCTACATGAACTTCACAGTACACTACACACAAATCTTTTAAATTGTGACCTCTTTGGCTCATTGTTACAACAGAGATAGAAAATCTTTCGGCTGTTCCTGAACTAAAACACCTATCATCCCTCGCCCTTGGCCCTGCTGTTTGGGGCTATTAAGAGTTGTAGTTTGCTAATCTCTGGAGTGCCAAAGTTTCATTCCTTGGATCAGAGAATTTACATTTTATTTATTTCACTGAGACCTAAATAGAATCAGTGTTATTACTAAAGGCATTGTCATAGTTGGGCTTATATTTCTGAAGATATTCAAATAACAGAGTGGTGTTTGGTTTTTTTCTTAATAACATTTCTGGGCTAGATTTGGAGCAGATAGGAGGTGGAAGCTAATTGCTAATATTTTGCCAAAATGTAGCCCAAGTTAGAAGCAGAAGGCAGGATGGGGCCATTACTATAACTGTCAAATCTAGGGCTGTATGCAGATAGGAGTAAACTCAGATCTTTGCAGCTGTAGTCACTAAGGTAAGTCCTCATCTCATGGATATCCTTGTGTTCTACAGAAGTGAATGATGGCTATTCATTTATGGGGGGGGGGATAAAATACAGCCCAGAGGGGAAAAACTGCTGCAACAGAGGACTTTTCTCTATTTTTGTCAGCTTCTCAACAGGAATTCTTTCAATAGGAATAGCATCTTCTCAACAGGAACCCTCTACAAGATGTAGAACCATTTTGTAGATATGAGGCACTCTCTTCTGGAGTTCTTCCTGAAAATAATAATCCTTTCGGAAAGTTTGCAATAATTAATCTACCAGTTATAGCCCTGACCTTTTGCTAGCACTATGACAAAAGTAAACTTACTTTTGGGGCTACGATGAATTTATTAGTAATGTGGTCACTTTTCTCTTTCATGTTTAAAAGATACTAAAAAAATAGTCCAGCAATTTAATAATTTGGATTAAAGGTGTGCCCAGGGAAGTATGGATCTAATTTGGAATTTGATGAATCTGTAAAAGTTGAGCTTAAGAGTTTAAAAACATCATTTTCCCCATTTGTTTTTTTAAAAAGAGGTTTTGTAAGTATCATCTGACAATATATCACATGCCCGCTGGATCTGTTCTACAAAGAGAACAATTGTTCAGCTCATTGCTCTGAATTCCAGAACACATCTTTTAAATGTGCAGATGGCATTTAAATCTCCGGATGATACTTTTCATTCTTGGCTCCTGAATAATCATCCTTTTGAAACCTGCCAATATAGTAGTTGTGTTGTCATGTTAGGAGATAAGCAGGGGATAAGCAACACGTAGGATTTGGGCATTATTGCAATACCTATTCTCCTACAAAGAAGAAACTTTTTTTTTTAAAAAAAGAAGACTTTCTGAAATAAAGAGATAAAAAAGAGACAATCTGGCAATCCTTTAGAAAAAAAAATGAAATGATAAAATCTTAATATTTACTGAACTTAGAAATAGTTGTGCTGGGCATGTACATATGTCCTTAACTAAAAGTGTCAGCTTGGCAGAATTTTAATTTAAGAGAGGTGTGTCTGCTTTTCATATTTATGTTCTCCTTGTGACAGGCCTGCCTGCCTGTCTGTCCTATAATCCTTTCTGCGGAAGGAATGTTTTTCCATTTTTTTAGATGTATGTTCTATGAGACAAGATCAAGTGCAGGTTAGATGCTCCCCAAAGGCTTTTTGGCTCACCTTCAAAAGCTAGTTTTGGCTGCCTGAGCTTTGCTGCTCTCTCTCACTACCACACTTACACCATGACATAAAGAGAATTTTGGTTTCTATCAATCTAGCCATTATTCTTTCAGAGTTCTCTTTCAGGAAACTTTCAACCTTTGGGATAAAACATGAGCTGTTGTTGGAACAGCAAATGCAGCCAGTTCTTACAAAGCTGTATGAGTTTAGGACATATGCTTAAATAATTCCATTAGTTTAAAAGGTAAAGGAGTCCCTGTGGATTTTACTCCACTAATCATTGCCAACTATAGGGGGTGATGCTCATCTCCATTTCAAGGCCTTTCAGCCAGCACTGTCTGAAGACATTTCCAAGGTCATGTGGCCATTAGTTAAACATCAATAGAAAAGCAAGTTTTCTTTATTTTGGATTTGAAAGTACAGGTTGTCCTTGACTTACACCAGTTCTTTTAGTGACTGTGCAAAGTTACAATGGCACTGAAAAAAGTGACTTATGACCAGTTTTTTTACACTTGCAACCTTTACAGCATCCCCCTGGTCATATGGATGCTTGGCAACTGGTTCGTATTTATGACGGTTGCAATGTCCCGGGGCCATGTGATCCCCTTTTGCCAGTCTCTGACAAGCAAAGTCATTGGGGAAGCCGGGTTCATTTAACAACTGTGTTACTAACCGCTTCAGTGATTCACTTAACAGCCATGGCAAGAAAAGTCGTAAAATGGGGCAAAGTTCACTTAATAAATGTTTCATTCAGCAACAGAAAATTTGGGCTCAGTTGTGGACAAAAGTTGAGGATTGTCTGTATTTGTCCCACATTAAATATGCTGGGATCAATGAGAATGACATTTTCTGAATCTGTGTCATCATATGCTAAAACTACACTTTTTAAAGTTTGCAGTGCATTGTAGTTCATAAACATGCAGAATGCGAAACAATGCAAGTTAGAAAAAATACACACAAAATGCACAGATTAGAAGGAAAGGCACAGAAATGTGCACAGACTTCCATCAAAGCTGGAGACTGGATTGCAGGGACCATAAAACAGAAGCTTTCTTAGATGTCTAACTGACCATAATGAGAAATATTATGGTGGATTACAGGACCCTGTAATAATTGTAGAAGTTCTTCCTCATGTTCTTACATAACAATATAGAGATACAATACCCGCTATAAACAACTAAGAAACATTGATAAGAGAAACAATCCACAGTTTAGAGAAGGAAATTTCACCAGAAAAACTGGAGGCTATTTAGATAACTGGGAATAAGCAACCATTGTATTTTGAGCACTTTTATTGTGCAAGATTTTAACTCTACTTCTAAAACTCTAAAACGCAGAACCTCTGATAACAAGAGATTTCTTTCCACCAGCTAAGGATAAGATTTTAACATGACTCAAAAACATCTCTAAAGTGAGAATGCAAAAGAGCAATCTCTTGCACGATTTATATCATGTTCTGCCAGTCTCCAAACATTCCTGAACAATGACATAAGAGCTACATAATCTATAGAGGTGTTAATCAAATGGTAATGCTATCAACCTTTCTACAACTTTCCAGCCCACCCCATCGCCATCACAGGTTGCCTAATTTGCAGTTGTGATTAAGCTGAAGAGAGGTTGTCATCATTCCAGAGAGTGGGATGAAGTTTGGCTTGAACTTTGAGCCCAGTATTTTCCTCTGCTTGTTATCACTGCATTGCAAAGCCATGAGGTTACACAGTCATGGGACCAGTTTTCATTGTCTGTGGTTGATGGCTAAGGCATGTAAGGGCATTGTTCTTCCAGCCTTTGCTAGATTTAGCTTCAAAAGAAGAAATGCAGTTTCAGGGAAGACTGCTGTTAGCTTGCCAATAATGAGACCTTTCTGTTTTCACTGTAGTTCTTCTCTTGGGCTATTTTGTTTCCCCTAAAAAAAAATGCATACCAAGGGTGGATGGGCTTGAAGGCAGCAGTGTGTGGAGCCAGAAACAAAAGTGATAGTCTAAATTTTTCTCTGACATCTTCTTCTCTCTCTCTCTCTTGATCAATTCCACCCAGTTCAGCAGACTGCCCCAAAGAAGCATATTATTATTTCCAGATATATGAACTCCCGGAATTACTAGCTAGGATGGCTTAAGACCATGGGAACTGCAGCTCCCACACAACTGGAAAGGGCTAGAAGGCAAACTGGAATATACTTGGTAGCAGGAACTGGTATAAGTCTTCAGTCTTCCATTATCACAGCAGTCTACATGGGATCTCATGTTTTCTTGATCTAGAAAAATGAATACTAAGAGGGACATTCGCCCTGGAAGTGTAAATTCTGCTCATTTAATGGACTGACCCTAAGCATGTATTTTGGTATTCCACCCCACTGATTTAAAAAAGCGGCTTACTTCCAAAAAACTATCACGGAATAAAAGTTGCAGAATAAAAGACACAAGATATATGATCATTAGATGGATTCAGATGATTTTTTGAAATGCTAAAATCCATTGTATGGTTATGTAGTTATAAAGGGTATTTTTAAAAATAACAAACTACTTAAAATACAAACAAGATGGCTAAATCATGATATAAAAATTGTTCTCCCAAGCCTTGTAAGATATTGGAGAACTACCCCTACTAAACCCAGCACAACACGAGTGTGTGATAAACCAGGATATCAGTTTTAAAATCTGTATGCACCACGAAACCATTTCTCATTAGTTTACCTGTAATTTGCTTTTTAGTCTCCACATCTCTGGTTTGTCGCAATAATCTTAGCAGGGTTGAAATGCCTTTCTGCTCGGACACTTCCAGTTTGTTGTCATTGTCTTCATATACCAGGTTCCTTAAAGCTCCACACGCTGCCCTCTGTACTTCCTCATTCTGCACATTCAGAAGCTCTAAAAGTTTGGGAATACCAACTAGGGAATATACCTGTGAAGAGAAGATAATTTATTTTCATACGGATAAGTTTTTATCTTCAAAAAAGATTATTTTGTTGTTGGATGAAATAAGCAGTCTTTAGTTAAGGATACTATACCAGTGATTTTACAGCCCCAATGTTTTCCTAAAAAACAAACTTACAACCTGAGTGACAAAACTCATTTAAAAAAACCAACCATCTGAGATGTTCTAATAAAATATGGCTTAGTACATTTCCTCCAGTGGTGGGATTCAGCCAGTACACACGAGTTCGGCAGAACCGGTAGCTAATTTTTTGTTTCCCAGACCCAGAACAGACTTCCGGAAGCGGAATCCACACAGAGAATCGATTGTTCACATATTTGAATCCCACCATTGGTTTCCTCTAATCATTGGCCATGCTTGCAGGAGAGTCTGGGCAACATAAGCTAAATGTTTACAGGTAGTCCTCGCTTAATAACCTTAATTGGGACTGGCAACTCTGCCATCAGGCAAAGTGATTGCTAAATGGAAAATTACATGACCGAATGTGCTTTCAGGCTGGAAAGAGATAAGACTACTATACTATAATCCGTTTTACACCTTTGGCTTTTGTTTGCCTTTCTCACCCTTTGCAATCCTTGACTGCTGCTTACTGTCTTGTACATATCAAAAGGAAAGCAATCGCACCTGGGACTGGTAGCTGCAGGCTGCTTTGCAAACAGCTTACAGTACTCTCTTGAAATCCCTTCCTCTCCAATCTGTCTGCTCTATGGTGGGGTGGGGTGGGAAGGGTCCGGCACAGAACAACATATACTGATTGTAATGGTGGTTAATTTTTTTCAGCACTTTCATAACTTCATAATGGTTGGTAAGTCAGGACTACTTGCACTGGTATCAGTTTGCCTATTCCTCAGACAGCTTATTCACATCAATATCATCCTCCTTCCATTCTGTATGTCTCTTGTTCTTGTAAGTTTCCATTAATATTGCATTTTATAATTCCATGCACCCTCTAGTTTGTGCAAGATGTCAGGCAGACATGTCAAACACAAGGCCCGGGGGCTGGATGCGGCCCACGATGTGGTTTCATGTGGCCCATGAAGCCATCCTGGAAACAGTGAGGGAATGGCCCCCGCTGCCTTGGCCCCAGCCCAGGCCGGCCGGGAGCCAATGTACAATTTTGTGGTGGCCATCTATGCTGAAATGCATTCAGTCTTAGCTCCACAAGGCCGTTTGGAAACAGCGAGGAACCCAGCGAGGTGCATGCTGGGCAGGTGTCACCCTTTGTGAGGAATGAAGAAATGCACCATTGCCTGGAAGTGACCAGCAAATGGCCCTCGCCTACTTCACATATCCGGCTTGATGGGCTCCAGGGGAGGGGTTTCGGCAGGCTCTTCCAGTGGACCATGCCTTGGCGCTTGCCCTGGTCCCACCCCCTTCTGCCAGAGACCCTCAGATCTGTCCCACTCCTGCCCAGGCCCCCACAGGCACCCTTGACACGAACGATGTAGAGTTGGCCATGCCCACCCATTAGGCACAACCACTCCAGCTATGCCCACCCAGTAGGCCGTGCCAACTGCAATGCTGATGCGGCCCTCAATGAAATTGAGTTTGACACCCTGATATAAGGCAACCTATTGGCTGCCATTAAAGATTATTAATATATGTTCAAAGACAAGAATACATCTAATAGTTTGGATCAGGGTTAGCCAGCTTAACAAAATAAAGGTGACATTCGTTCATAAAGAAATATTTAAGTCACATCCCACAACAATAGTGCCTCACTCTTCATATATGAAATCTATGTGCAATACTATTTTAAGAAAACACCAGGGTGGAGATACGTTAATATTAATTTAATAATCATATACTATGTTATTAACTTACGAAATTCACTGCACAAAACAAGTTGATGATTACTAATTGCCAAACTCCTCTTGGCTGCCTTGCAAGATACAACTAAGCAAATGCATACAACTAGCAAGATACAACTAAGCAAATGAACTCTACTGAATACTGTACAGGTAGTCCTCAACCTATGACCACAATTGAGTCCAACATTTCTGTTGCTAAATGAGACATTTGTTAAGTGAATTTTGCCCCATTTTCGACCTTCCTTGCCACATTTGCTAAGTGAATCACTGCAGTTGTTTCTTTAGTAATAGGGTTGTTAAGTGAATCTGGCTTCCCCATTGCCTTTGCTTGTCAGAAGGTTGCAAAAGGGGAACATGTGACCCTGAGACACCGCAACAGTCATAAATATGAGTCACTTGCCAAGCATTCAGATTTTGGTCACAGGAACATGGGAATGCCTCCACAGTCGCTAAGTGTGAAAAACAGTCATAAATCAATTTTTTCAGTGCCATTGTAGCTTCAAATGGTCACTAAACAAACTGTTGTAAGTCAAGAACCACTTGTAGTTCCTTCAAGCAGTTGATTGCTTTCTGATATTGAGCTGCTGTCCACATTTTATAGGCCTATGAGTTTAAACTCAGCATTTTTTCCTTATAAGGTTTCCATGATTTCATCAGCAGCCTACCTGATGCTTCTCATATTCGGTACTATATAGCAGTTTTTGATTTAAGCATTTCTGTCCTCTTGCTCCAAATATATCTCCTACACCAACTTAGATGTTTTTAGAGAGCATTAGGTCAGCTTCTCCAATTTAGTTTATTCAACATATTGAACCCAATCTCACCAACGTTAGCCACCACAAACAATGATTGAAATCCATATAGACCCCAATAGGCTGAATTTAGCAAACCGGCAGGTTTCAAATAAATGGGCACACAATTAACACAAATTATTCAAATTCTCATTTTATGTAATGTTAATTATACTGTAAATCACTCTTCTGTTGATTAGAAGCCTCACAAGAATGCATACTTAAAAAATAAATAAATAAATAAATAAAGGCCACAAAATAAAAGCAGCAGAACTTCATGCAACATACACCTAGGAATAATTAACACCTAGGAAAGTAACAACTGTCCGGCCAGGTCTTTTTGCTGGACCAAGATTGCTGAATACTGAATATTGCTGAAGTATATCTGGTGCTTTTCAGTTCTGAACGTGGTATTATGAAAGTCTAATTTATACGGAGGGCATATAGTGTGGAATCCTTGAATTAAAAAAAAATACTGGCTGAGCCAGATCTTTATTAAATTATATTAGAGTAAATGGTCTGCATAAATAGTTTTCTGATTGTGACAAAGTGTTCAGTGCAAAGGAGATAAAGAGGAAGGAAAGAGAATTTGTTTTGATAATTTGGGGAATGCTCAATACTTTATTATGATCAGTATTTTCTCCTTGTTTATCAGTTGTTGAGATATGAAGGTGGTTCAGGCTTTATAGGGCAGGATATTGCTGTCTAAATAATGTTAAGCCCTTGTATAAACAGTTTCATAACACTCTTTTAAAGCTGTTGGTGTACCAAATATAGAACTGAAACAAGAGGTACAGAATTGTGTGGGCTGAAAAGTGCCTCAAAGACTTCCAGCCCAAAGTCCTGTGGGAAGGTGAGGACATTTTTTATTTATAAGAGAGCAATAGAGAGAGCTAGAGCTCTGTCGCCTATTATGGCAGGAAACTGGTAAACGAAAATACGTTTCAGTCTGACAAGAGCTCACACGTCCAATCTGATGTCCTTCAGATCTGTTAGAATCACAACACTAGAAACTCAGTCAACTCTGGGAAATAGTCGGATGCTGGGAGTTATATTTTTAAAACATTAGAGAACACCAGACTAGAAAAGGTGACCTTGCTTCAAGAGATATCTACCATTTAGGATAAATATACAGATTCTTCTCCAGGAAATCATATGGCAAAACAGATGGCCATGGGCTACTCTTGTTATTGTTCATAGTCACTAGAGCAGTGGTGGCGAACCTATGGCACGCGTGCCAGAGGCGGCACTCAGAGCCCTCTCTGTGGGCACGCGCGCCATGCCCCAGAGATGACAACCGTCCCTCTTCAACCAGCCACCTGCTAACTCACCGAGGTCCCACGTGGCTAGATGCATCCCAGCATGGCTGGTTTCCCTCCCCCCCGCCCTGCCTCACCTTGTCTCACCTCACCCCACAGGACGAGCCTCTTGCCCACTGCCCCACCTGCCAGAGACCCCCTGGATCTCCCCCAACCCTGCCTGGCCCCTACAGGCATCCCTCCCCACAAGCAACATCGAGGTGACCACGCCCACCTTGGCTACACCCACCAAGTCTGCCATGAGCACCACAGCCACACCCACCTGGCACCCGATGATAAATAAGTGGGTTTTGGGTTGCAGTTTGGGCACTTGGTCTCTAAAAGGCTTGCCATCACTGCACTAGAGTAAAATGTTGGGTTTTGGGATAAGACCAGGCTTAATTTTTATACCCCATTTCCCCCCCCCCCAATGAGTTTTTTCCTCATGCTAGTCTATTCCTATCACAACCATAAGTACTAGATTACAATAAGAGAGGCTGATAGGCCTTAAATCACCTAGTGAGTTCTGTGGTTGAATGGGTATTTGGATCTGAAACTCCCAATCCAAATCCAAATAAACTGGCTCTTTCTTAAAAGTATGTTTTTTTTCGTTTGAATGTATTAAGGAGGCTAGTTTTTTTTAAGCCAATTAAGCTACCCAAAAGCTATTTCTCTATCATCCCTATCATCTCTCTCTCTCTCTCTCTCTCTCTCTCTCTCTCTCTCTCTCTCTCTCTCTCTCTCTCTCTCTCTACATACATACATACATACATACATACATACATACATACATACATACATACATATAAACACTGTATACAGTATATATGGGAGATAGACTTTACAGATAAAGAGGTAAAATCTGCTTTAAGTTTGCCTCCTATAAATTCTTGGCAAATGCCTTCCTTCACAAAATGTCTGTCTGTCTGTCTGTCTGTCTGTCTGTCTACAGATAGTCCTTGACTTACAACCGTTTAACTACAGGTCAAAGTTACAATGGCCTTGGAGAAATGTTACTTTTGACCTGTTCTGTAGTCCTTGACTTACAAACTTTTAACAACAGATCAAAGTTACAATGGCCTTGGAGAAATGTTACTTTTGACCTGTACTGTCATTTACAACTCATTTACTCATTCCACTGCCCTTGTGATCAGGTAAACACAATTGGAGTGTTTGGAAATTGGCTCACAGTTACAACTGGTTGCAGTGTTCCGCAGTCATGTGATTACAATTTGCAACTTTTCTGCCACTTTCCAGCAAAAAATTTCCATTGGGGAAATTGGATTTGCTTAACAACTGCACGATGCACTTCGCAACCACTGTAAACATTGTTATAAAATTGGGTCTGGTTTGACCTACAACTTACAATGGAAATTTCTGTACCAGGTGTGGTTGTAAGTCAAGGAGTACCTACAGTATATCTCTAATCTAGCCTATTATTTTGGTATTTTGTGGTAAGTGTTCCATCCCAATTACCAACCGTATCCAACACTGTTTAGTTTTCTGAAAATAGCCAAGTTTGGCAAGGCATCAATACAGACTTATTTGGGTTGACTGCGCCTGAACATTAATTTTCTTGTTTGTTTCATGTCTGCTCCTATCTTCCCTTCTACATGCATCCCTTTGAGAAAAACAGGGCTCATCTGGAGGGAAATCAGTTAATATCCACGGAGGATTTCATCCAGGATGTTTTCCCATTCCTTTCTGCCCATTATTTTCCTCTACCAATTCCACACACAAGACTTTATATGCAAGAAGTATTGAAAATCTAAAGACAGAAAGAAAGAAAATTATCACTCACTTTCCTTCTGGCTTCTGCTCTCTGAAAGCTCTCGTGCTGTATAAAAACAATTGCTGCCAAAACTCGAGAAGACAAGGGATTTTCATTTTGCAATATATTTACGGCACGCTCCAGATTCATCTCTCCTTCTGGATTCCTGGATAATTAAACACAAACATGTACCAAATCAACAAGAGAAGGCAAAGATAAACTCCTTTTGAAGAGGGGTCTGACATAATCATGTTCATGTAGCTTTCCTGGTACAAATTTTTGCCACTGGGATATTTTCTTTAGTTTCTACTGCTTTGGGGTCTCCCATCCAAGCAGACCTGAACCTGTTTAACCAAGCTGACCCAGATAGCACCTATAGTGGTTAACAGCAGCAGGCTTGTGCCATCTTAAAAGGCCACCAGATTTTTTTTTACCAGAAACTTTAGTAAAATAGCAACTTTGTCATTAAATGTCATCTTCACTGGACAAAGGTGGCAAAGGATGATAGATTTATGATATTAAAGGTAAAGATTCATGATCCTTTCATAAGACTTCTTGGAATATAACTTTCCTTTATAATGTGGACGTTCAGTCAATTCAAGACCACATTGGCCTTGCAAAATATATCAAGAACCATAATCCCCAAATAGCAAGGCTAGGACCCAAAGTGTATATGATCTGGGTAAGAATGGGGTTTTATGGGCTCAATGAATGTTTGAGTTCCAACTTCACACTGAACCAAAACTAACCAAAATTCTAGACAATATATAATAAAGCAGAACCAATTTGCACTTCAGACTGCATTTGCTCTGTCCCTTCATAGACCACTCTTGTATGAGGTCATTATATACAACACATACACTTTTCTATAATCTAATGTCCAATTTCATATTACTAACCTGAAACTCATTAAATGCACTGTACTTAACTCCCATAAGCTTGGAAGGTACCAATGTCTCTAGCTAGCAAGAAAGAGAAAAATCTCATGGGTGATTTAAAGAAAAGAAATCCCCCCACGCTTACTATCTTGATGGAGCATTTTATATTAACTGGCTTTACTATTAGGCAAAGCAAATGAGTTATCTCAAACAGCAGGTACAGATGTAGGATCAGTAGCATTCCCTCTCCTATGGTTTCTCTTGAATCTTTCCCAGCTGTTCTCTTCTGAAAAACAGAGCTTCAATTGCCGTAGGGCCAGGTCTGTATATTAAAACTAGTGCGATGTTCCATTGCACATCCATTGCATAAGGCAATGTGATTCTGTTTGTGCCTATGGAAAACTATGATGATAATCCATGCACTGCAGTGTTATGTAAGTCAAGCATGAGTCTATTTTTCCAGCCACTCTCAATTAACACTGATAACTTCAGAATTTAGTCTGAGGTCTATAACTGCCAGTATCATACAAGTATACAACAAGGCTTTTCTTTACTTTCCTGAGATATTTTTGAGGGACTTTCATCTTTTGTGTATCAGCTCAGTCTTTCTATTTGCTTCCTATTAGTGAATAGCAATCTTAAAACATAATTAGACATGATGGCAATCTTTGTGCTCAAAGTCATCAGCCTTGCCTACAGTTTGCTTCTATGAATGGATATAACCAAGCTATAGAAACAAAATATTTAACAATTCTTTGATGCCCAGAACAAGTCCTAACAAGTCTATTAGGAACCAGAATCCTTCTGAGATTTAGCAAGATGTATGTTGACTTCCATGATAGACAAATTCTAGATTCAGACCATGAATTATTTTAACAAATCTCCAAGCAATTTGTCTAGCCTCTTGACTCGACTATTTATTAAATCCAAATAAGTATGCTATTTACTCATTGCTACATTATACTGCATCTTTCGTTTAAAGGGTTGAAGGTGCACAATGATGTCTTTTTTATTCTCATAATTATTATATGAGATTGGTAAAAAGGAACAGTTTCAATTATTCCACGGCTTCTGCTTAGTTTCAAATATATGTAAAATGTAAAGATGTTGATGCTCTCTTGATGTTGTTAAACTTAGTTTTCTATGCAACTTGCTCTAAAGCCATTCCTGTTATTTACCTATGTTTGGTTAAACACAATTCTCTTTATTAACAATTGCTGGGTTCGTACATGCTGTGTGAAACCAAATACATAATGATTTAACATGGAGGGATCACAACCAGAAACTTAGTGAGAAGAGGGATTTTTCTTTCTTAAAGGAGAATGACTCATCTTCTAAAATAAAATTAACAAAATATACTGGCAAAAAAAATTCCTATTTCAACCCTATTTCAGGAAACACTTTTTTAAGGTGAACTCATCTTTTTTCCATATGTCTGAAATTTATTAGCTGTTTCTATCTGGATTGAGATACCTGGCTTCTATCCTGCGTCAGCAAACACTGCTATCACCTGGAAGAGTAAGCTGTTGCTTTCAATCCCGTTGTTGCCATAGCTGAAACTAGCTCACTCCACAAACTTGTTCTGACCTGATAGCACATGAATAACCCCCTTCTATCTTCTTGACACTGTGTACCTTAACGGCTGCAAACTTAATTCCAGGAAATACAAAGGCAATCACTTAGAACCAGTGGAATGCAGCAGGCATTCCAAAAGTGAACAAATGAAATGATAATTGGGAAATGAGAATCAATGGCTAATCATGAATTAAAATAAAGTCTAACTTTCTGCCTTTGGGAAGTGAACCAATCCTAACAACACATACTGAGATGTGTATATTCAGAATTCTGTCTGATTTAGTTCAATGGGACTCATTACAAAGAATATTAACTGGCTTCCTATAGTATTCTAAACTATAATCTCTGCCAGTCATGCTTTGTTAAATAAGCCACAAACTCTCTGCATTATCAAAAATTGTCCAAAATCAATCTCTCTGCATTATCAAAAGTCAGAAAAGAATGTAGTGGCGCAGTGGTTAGAATGCAGTATTGAAGGCTAATTCTGCCCACTGTCAGAGGAGTTTGATCCTGACCAGCTCAAGGTTGACTCAGCCTTCCATCCTACCCAGGTCAGTAAAATGAGGACCCATTTTATGTTGACTTTGTAAACCGCTTAGAGAAGGCTTATAAAGCACTATGAAGCGGTATATAAATCTAAGTGCTATTGCTACTGCTATAGCTACAATTAGACTCATTGTACTGTGCACTTCAGAAATGAAGATGAATGAAGCCAGGCTTGTGAGCATAAATTAGCTGCCTAAAATATATCATATGCCAGATAGGCGGAGAACACCTGAGGTCCTCCAGATATTCCTGAATTACATTTCCTAGAACCCGTCACTTTTGCTCATGGGATTGAGCTTCTGGGAATTACAGTTCATAATTCTAACTAACATATCGTTCAACATTTGGAGGACTAAAGGATCTTTATGTTCTACGTACTGCCTCAATATGAACAGAAACGGCACTACGAACAGATGAATAGACTTGGGCATTGCTAATAGTGGTGTATCTTCAAAGACATACCCTACTTGAGATCTGCTGGCAGATATCCTTTCATGCTCAACCATGCCATTTGCTCCAGCAGCGGCCATAGCCGCTGTCATTGTCATCCTCTTCCCACCTGCCTCGGTGAATGAAGTTGGCAGGGAGATTTCCCTTGTGCTCTGGGATTTGACGGTGTTCTGATGCCAGCTCGAATGCCTGTGCTGGGTTCCAGCTTGGGAATACATAGAAGCTCTGACTTGCCCCACCGCAGCCCCATTATTTAGATAATTCTCCTTCTCCAAAAGATTGGTCATACTCCGGCTATTCCCCACACGATGATACAGCGGTACTCCTGGACTGACTGGTACACTGTCCACCATCGTCTCATTAGTCGGCCCAATGTAGAAGTGCCTGGGTCCTCTGCTTGAAACACTGCGGCTTGTGTAGCCAAGGATTTCAGAACGAGCATATCTTGGTGGCAAGGCGCAGGTTCTCTTGCTCTCATTCTGTCGAAGTGTTAAAGCCCTATTATAGCGCAGGTCAGTGTGGAAGGGAAGCGGCTTGTCGGGACTGCCCTCAGGAGAAACCTCCAATCT